CACTGTCATGGGGCACTGCTTACCTTTCAAAAGAGGAAGACTGCACTGCCGAGTTGTCAGGGAACCTGCCCCTCTCCCGGTGATCAAAGTCATTAAATCTGTTCTGTTGCCGAGAATAGTCCGATCCATGGCTGAATCGGGCATCTGTATCTAGAGACAACTTTTTGCTTTCATTCCAGTAAGGATCATCTCGCCTTAAAAGAGAAATTTTTGTTCATTTATAAAAGTGACTTTTACAATAAATAAACAATAATCACTTGGACTCATGCACACCAGATGTTAGAACTGTGAACACAAGAAGCTACTTAAACCCAAGATACAATGTGCTTAGCTAGCCATGTGGGCCAGCAAGACCCTTAAATCATGAAAGGTCATATCATGATAGAAGAATTTAAAGAAAAAAAGTGAGAAAACACTTGTCCTTACACCACTAAGTGGGAACAATGTGACGAGGCGCTGGCCGTGCTCTGACTACTGTCTAGAACCTACTGAGAGGTCTTTAGCTTTGGAAAGGCCAGAGGCCCGCTGAGGGCCAAGCGCAGCTCCTCCCTCCACCTAGCTCTCCACACAGTCAACTATGACTCACAGTTTACAGGAGGAAAATTAATGGGAATGAGTACAGACAGGAACACACACACACATCAGAACCCACAATGCAGTCTCTCCAGGTTTATGAGGCCCATTCTTTTTTTATGTATTTGGTATAGGGTCTCACTATGCAGCTCAGACTCACAGCAATTCTATTTTCAGCCTCCCTGGCACTGGGATTACAGGCCTGTGCCACCACGCCTGGTCGCAGTGCACTCAGGGGCAGGGCTGGTTCAGCATGTGGTGTCAGAGATCAGGAGTGAAACCCCACCCCTGGCCCTGCATTTGCCGAAGCAGGTGCTCAGTGCTCTGAGCTATCTTGCTAGCCCAACTTCCACTCTTAAGACCACCTGCAGTACTGATAAAAACTGCAGATGGCCCAAGTTTGAGACCCACTATCAAAATGTACTGTGACTGCACACTTCCAGTCATGACAGAAATTATTTGGCACTCAAGCAAGAAACTGGAAAAGGAAGATTGCTCCTGCGGAACACCCTGCATACCCTGCTGCTGCCAGCCAGGACTTCAACTCCAGGGCAGCAACCTTGAGCCTCCACTTCAGAGGCATCAGTAGCAAGCATAACTGGGAAGGAAGAAAGGAAGCAACTACCTATGGTCTACATCGCGGGGCCGTTTCAGAGAATTCCTCTTTTCTTGTTCATAACGAAGCTGCTGCTGCTGCCTCCTGAGTTCCTCTCGTTCTCGAGCAATCCTTTCAGCTTCCTTCCGCCGCTCCTTCAGGCACAGAAGGAAGAACACCAACCAATACAAAATGAAGAGGAAAGGTAAGCAACATGCAACCAGCGTTAAGCAGTCACAAGTCACTAAGAAACCAGCCTAGGCAAGCACCAGGCCAAGGAGTGCTTGGGACAAGTGGCTTTCATTTCAACCATCTAGGCTGCAGGCAGACATTGTTCTGTCCGCATTATTAAAGAGTAGGGGCTGGGTGCTGAGAGCAGCCAAATACTGGGGAAGGTCAGGTTTCATCTAATCACTTGACTTCATGAAAGCATCTGAAGAGAATTAGAAATAGAATTCTCAATATTTACTAGGAGTGAGTGCCCTAAACACTGGGTTGCAACCAGGCAAGAGAGGCTTTCTTTCCTTCCAGCCTTGAGCAGTCATCCCACTACAGTATGTAAGGAAGACTTACATCCTAGACGGACGCAGTGAGCCTCGGCTTCGGCTACTCTGTGCCCAGTCCTGTGCTCAGCTGCTCAGCTGCCATTACGCCGCACAGCTGGAGTCGTTACCTCTTTACTTGAGCAAATCACTCACTGTTAGATGTATTTCTAACTAGTGTCCAAGTCACTATTATCTTTTGGGGACCCATAAAAACTCATTAGCTCAATTCATTCTATAGAAGCTTTACACAAGTAAAGCAAATTTCAGGACAAAGTCATAAGGTTTGAAAAAGGTGAGTTATTTAAGATGAAAAGATTTTCTGACTGCACCTGTTCAATACGAATGCGTTCCCTTTCCAAGCGTTCGCGTTCCATCCTCTCTCTCTCTAGTTTCTGCCTTTCAATTTCTAGGCGCTCTCTCTCTCTCTGTAAGCGTTCCCGTTCTTCCCGTTCACGAATTATTCTAAATCGTTCTCGCTCTCGACGCTCTCTTTCTGCAATCTCTCTTCGTCTAACAAAAATCAGTATTTAGAAATGCTTAAATTATGCTAGCAATGTGTGAAAGAGAAGAACTTTTGAATTTAATTATTCCTTGAGGTTGGCAATTTTAAACTTCAACTTAATCTCTACAGCTTTAATATAATTGGAAAGAATTCAAAAAAAGACTTGAAACAGACTCTAATACTGTCACTATTTATAAGACTACAACTAAACAGCTACATCGTTATAGTTGTTGGCTTTAAAATGATTCCTGTTTAAACAAAATGCCCACTATAACAGCACATTAATTGACATGTTAAGAATATATTCTACATATGTGAATTTATAAAGATGTATCTTCTAATTAACTATTTTGGACAGAAAAGTTTTCAGCATGTAACTTTTTCTTACATCTCCTTAAATACAACATACTTTACTCTGATGGTCTGGGATTACAACTATAAACAATAAACGCTATACAACACAATGCCTTAGAGGGCTCTTCTGGAGCTCTCTGGCTCCTGCTCCTGGTAATGTTTTCAATCAGGGCTCATTCTGATGCTTATTGAACTGAATTACAGTTACATCTTTCTCATTGCTTCCTCGTGTCCTGACTCACAGAAGGTACTTTTTTATCAGTGTCTTCCTCTAGCAGCCCAGGGGTTCTCAACAGCTGAGTGTGACTTCCACAGCAACTACTGTGGCATTTTAATCATAAAAAAGACCCCAAGGCCAGAGGATGTGGCACAAAAGGCCAGGTGTGGTAGCATATGCCTTAATTCTAGCACCTGGGAGGCCAAGGTGGTGTTCAAGGCCATCCTGGGATACACATGGAGTTTAAGGACAGCCTGGACTGCATAGTGAAACCTTGTTTCATTATTAAACCTTTTAATCGGAAAGATTAAAAAAAAAAAAAAAAAATGAAGCTCTTACTAGTATTTGATGGCTAGGGACCAAAGACTCTTCGGTAACTTAGGAAACAATTCAGGGCAGTCCCACACAGCAAAGATTATCCAACATGCCTTGTAATTTTAAAATGTCACAGTTGACATTCATGTTACTTAAAAAAAAAAACTAAAAAGCAAAAATCAGGCCCTAGAACTTAACTCCATCCTAAAAAAATGCTAATGGTGGCACATGCTTGCACTGCCACATACTTGAGAGGCAGAGGCAGGAGAATCACAACCTAAAGGCTACGCCTGCCAACTCAGCAGGACTCTTAAAAAAAAGTGTGTGTGTGTGTGTGTGTGTGTGTGTGTGTGTGTAAAATACAACTCAAGGGTTTGGGTTCAAACTCAGTAAAAACAACAGAAAGGTATGTGTATGCAAGCTAGGCTGGTCTGCTTTGAAGAAGATGTCTAGCACTGCAAAGCACACAGACAAACAGCACTTTCATGTTTGACTCACCAGTGTAACAGACCAGTGTCAGTCTGGGTTTGTGCTTTTCACATTCTCAGTGAATCTAAAATGGCACAAACACTAAGGACTTCATTAAATCTTTTATAGGTAAAATCTCACCCAAACATTCATCTCTGGAGTATGTATTTTATGATACATTACTTTCACTTCTTGATGTTATAATTCAGTCATATCAGTTTTCCGGAAATTCTCTGTGAAAGTATGCTACATGTCAATTTCATTTCAGGAGAGTAAAAAAGGCACTGCAGCTCTCTTACTTAAAAGGCCAGCGGGAAAAGCCAAAAGAAGACACAAAAAAACAAGAGCAGCAGGCTAGATACAATGCTGTTCAAGGATGGTTGGTCCCAGCTGGGGGGCGGGGGGGAAGACCCCCACTTAAGGGCCGGGCATGCAGCTCAGCAGCACAGCACCTGCCTGGCAAGCTCAAGGTCCTGAGTTTGACTCACAGTAGGGGGGAAAAAAGGTTCTTTAGGCTCAAGAGCACAAAATCTAGCCTGGACAACACTGAGTGGGACCCACACTCATGAGGTCAGCACAGCGGGTACTGTATAAAGGTAGGGTGTAGGTTTTAAGCAGGATTATTTCCTTTGGCTAAATTTGTACAATAATGCTTTTATCTAAGTTGCTAAAAATACCTCTCTTTGGTAGAGATCCTTGAAATTTTGCAAGCGGACTAGATGGTTAACATTTAGAAAAATATACTATAAAACATTCACAAGGGCATTTTGAACAACAAAAAATTTATGTATCTGAAGGTAAAATGCAACTCATGATCAGTTGAGAGTCTATCACTAAAGATGGAAATATTCTGGATTTTTTGTTTTCTTTTCAGAGAATGCTTGAGGGTTAAGAGTTTGAATAAATGAAGCTCACAAAGCAAATTTTTCCTTCATTTGGGCACTGATCCGGAGAACATATTATTTGCTAAATTTGTTAAAATTTCAACACAGGATCTAAACACTGGAGCTTAATTTGCCAGTCAAGCGCTTACCCTACTGAGCCATCTCCTCCCCGGCCCCTGGAGCTTAATTCGAACTAACTCAGAATCGGGTTTTTCCTTTAAGGTCATGTTTGCATGGCAGTGCTGTGGATTAGAGGAAGGAGCACTGGATTTGCAGTCCAATGACTCAGACGCGAGTTCAACTGCCACTCGCTGGCTGTGGCCCTGGGACAGACACTCCGCCTCTGGCCTCATTTGTGCTGAATGCTGAGGTCAGCGGCATCCCAGAACTGTGGGCTGGAGGTGACAGAAGCAGGCTGTTAAGAGGTAAAGTGCTGTGCAACTTAAAGTCATACACTGGGAAGGGACAGCAGGCTTCTGTGGTTGACACTAGTACAATGTACCTCCATTTAAAGACACTATAAAACAAAGGCTCTTCTTACCTCCGAAGTTCCATTGCTCGCCGCAGCCTTTCAAAACGAACTAGATGTTCTCTCAATCTCTGTTCCTTCATCTTCTCAAAAGGCAAGATCTCCTTCCTCCTGTGGTCCTTGTCTCTCTTCCTGTCCAGGCTCGCCCGCTCGGGTTCCTTACTCCTCCCGTGGATCTACAAGAACACAGTGAGAGCAGCAGAAGCAAGTGAGTCTCATCAAGAAGCTCAAGTCACTACTGCACCCCTTTCCTTATGGTACAGGAGGGAAGAACAGTCAGGAGACAGAAGAGCCGTCTTTGCCCAGAGACGCGTCACGGATCATCCTCACCACTCACTTTCTCATGCCTGCCTCTTCTCGAAGGCCTGCAATGATCTCCCTTAGTTTGGTCTAGTATTACCATATGTCCTGGACTCTTAGAACCTGAAAGAGAGAAAAAATACACCAAGGAATGTCTACAAAAATTATTTTGGTGAAAAATACTTTCTTATCCAGATATTCAAAACAATAGGAAATTAAAAATCTATTTATTCTGAGTTTAAAAGAATTTAACCTGCTAATATAAATATTCCCAATAACTATCAGAAGATCTTAACTCAAAACTACCCACCAACGACCACTTCAGGTCAGGTGAGAGCTGAGGTTCTCAGAGCAGGCGGTGAAGCAGCTTTCCTGCCAGCACCCGCTCATTTCTCAAGAGTAGAGGAGGAGCACAGTGAGGCCCTCTGTACTCTGGGCAGAGCGCGGACTCCTACAGCTGAGCAGTCACAGGGATGTACAGGATCAGTGTTCCCCACCAACACAAAAAGGCTGGGCCTGGTAGCACATGCCTACACATGGGAGGCTGAGGCAGGAAGATTGTTTCAAGTTTATGGCCAGCATAAACTGCAAAGTGAGAGCCCATCTTAAAAAGACAAAAATAAAAATTTATATAAACAAAGTTGAGGAGTACATTAGAAAGTGGTTGGCATTAGTTCAATCCCCAGTACAAAAAAAAGGGGGGGGGGTATGGAGTGAGAAGAAAGACACAGCATACTTATTCGTTTTTTTTCTTCAGTTTTTTTAATCAATTCTGAAGTCTGGCCGCTTGTTCCGCTGTCAATCTTCTCTTCTTTACCTTCCATTTTCTTATTATCCTTGCTTTCTTTTTTCTCAGATTTTTCGGATAACCTTTTCTCTTCTTTCTTGACAGAGGTTTGTGTCCTGACCGTATCAGCCCAGACAGGAAAACAGACTGAGAACTATTTCGTTAGGGCACCACACAGTCTTAGCTGCTTATTTAAAAAAAATTCTTCTAGCAACTCCCCAAAATTAAAATAAATAAATCCTTACTTGCTACTTCTATCACTCATATTTTTTTTATCTCCAGAACTTCTTGAACTACTCTTTTCATCATTTTCTTTCTTCATTTCTTTCTTAGATGGATCACCTTTTACCTAAGAGGTTTAAACCAGAAAATAAAAAAACTGTAAATTTTAAAGTTATGTCTTTCATGATTATAAAAAGTGGGTTGATGGTAGTAAATTCAATAAAGATAAAAAATTAGGGAAATAAATTTTAAAGTGAATTCATAAAAAATCACTCTTTGTCCTACTTCCTTCCTATCAGTTGTTTTTAAATTGAGAATGCATGGCTGGGGAGATAGTTTGGTGGTCTAAGCGCCTGCCTGGCCAAGTACAAGGGCCTGGGTTCAATCCCTGGTATGGCATGCTGTGCCGGTCCCGGAATCCAGGTGAGCCGCACAAGCCCCCAAAACTGGGCATAGTAGTGCTATAATCCCAGTGCTGGAAAGGCTGAGACAGGAGGATCACTACAAGTCTGAGCTACATAGTGAGTCCCTATACCAAATAAATAGAAGATTTCTTTTGGGGGGTGGGGCTGGCTCAGGCTGCCTTAAGGGCAGGTCTGGTAAGGCAAGTGGAGCTGGGGATTGAACTGCGGTATCCTGCAACTGACTGCGTTTAGATGAGCAGGCACTTAAACAACTGAGCTAACCGGCAGGCCCGCAAAAGATTTTCTTTTAATGTTATAAATTAAATAACAATACAGGTTAAATATCTTTCATTTGAACTAACTGGGGACAGGAAAGGCTTCAGGTTTATTTCCACAGCCTCCACTGGAGGGCATCCTTAATTGGAAAATGTAAATTTGAAATGCTTCAAAGTTTAAAATGTTTTGAACACTACTGACACGCAGAATGCTTCGGATTCTGGCTTTGGTGTAGTGGCAATGCCTATAATCCCATCATCTGGGCGGCCAAGGCAGGCGATCACCACAAGTCTAAGGATAGCCTCAACTCCTTAGTGACTTAAGGACAGTAAAAACTACATGGTAAGACTGTCTCAAAAGATAGAGGTGTGTAGCTCGGTGGCTCAGCTCCTGTCTGACCTGACAAACTCAAGGTCCTGACCTCACATCTGGTACCCCCCCAAAAAAATCCAAATTCTAGATTTTGGCCAGGTGTGGTGGTGCATGACTATAATCTTAGTACCCTAGAAGTTGAGTTAGAAGCATTGCTGTGAATTTGAGGCTAGCCTGGACTACACAGTGAGACCCAGACTCTAAAAAAAACCAAAAATGTTTCTGATTTTAGATTATCAGATTAGGGATGCTCGACCTATATCTGCCACCACCTCAGCCTCTCTGCTCTAAAAGGTAAGGCAGGCCTACTTTCTCCACGGAAATGAGCTGTCCATGCAGTTCGGTGCGATGGAGATGTGCGATGCATCGGGACACCTCTGTGCTCGAAGACATAGTGACGATGCCATAGCATTTTGCCCCAGGACTCCGTGCATTTGTAACCACCTTGGCACTTAGCACCTAGTAAAGTGAGAATGGACTTTAGAAAGTTGTCTAGCTTTACAACTATACTCATTTGTAAACATAAAACTTTAGAACTTACGCTATTAAAAAAGAAGACATAAGACATTCATGTAAGTATGATTCCTTCCTTCCTTCCTTTCTGGTACTGGGAATTGAACTCAGGATCTCACGCTTGCTAGGCAGGCACTGTCCCGCTGAGCTACAGTCTAGCCCATTATTTCATACTCTTGTAATCATCATCTACCTGGCCAATATGAACTGAGTAAGTATTCAAGGTGGTAACCTAACAAGTCACAAACCAATTTAGGATGGGTGTGATGATGCACACCTGTAATAGCAGCGCTTGGGAGGCTGAAGTAAGAGGATTGTTCTGAGTTTTTAGGCCAGCATGGGCTACATAGTGAGTTCCATGCCAGCCTGAACTGTAACACGAGAACCTATCTCAAAAAAAGCACACCACAGAACCTGAAAGGCAACATTTTCCATCTAATGCTTTCAAAACTGTTTCATCAACATAAAAGTAACAAACACTTTCACTTCATAGGCTGGCTGGCTAAGAGAGCAGCAGGGACACATGAAGGAGGACAGTGAGAGCAACAGTCCATGCCCACACAGCCGAGATCCGGGGCGTAAACAAGGAACCTCGTTTACTGACGGTGTGCGTGACCAGCAATCATCAAATTTTATCTCAACTCAGGAAATGCTGATGTGTCCCACAGCAACTGAAGTGTAAAAAAAAAAAAATCTTGTCTTAATTTTTTTAACTATTAAGAATTATATATATATATATCAGCTGATCACTGCACTTCTCAGTGTGCCACATCTGATACAAGCTTTTACAAGAGCGTTTACTGCAGGATTAATTCACTTTCATTTTTTATTAAATATCATATTAAGTACAAAGTATTCAGAGTCCTAAGAAGTACAGACCAGCTGCAGGCCACAGCAGCAATTCTCCACTGAGTATTTTTTACTACTCCTTTCTTTTTTATGTCTCCCCTTAAATGCCAGAGAAATGTTTCCTGCTAAGTGAGGCAGAGTAAAACCTCCCCTTTCTCTCAGAATACCTGGCACTTTTCTCCCTAGCATTCATTAGTTTTGATTATCCAAACAAACAAACACATGCACGCATCCCTACCCTCTTTAATACTGTTTATCTCCATAACAGGGATTGGTTGTTTCTGTACAGTTTATACACCCGATTGCCTAAACTAGTCTACTTGTATTTTCTTTTCTTTTTTTCTTTCTTTTTTCTATTTTAGGGAAGAGTCTACATGGTGTTCAGAGTCTCACAGTGATCTGCCTGTTTACAGCGTCCTAAGAGCTGGGAGTAGAGGCACATGCCACCATGCCCAGTCTTTACTTGTATTTTCCAAAGGACCAAACCAACCTTAAGAATGTGTCAAACCAACCAACCAACAAACAGCAACAAAAAAACCTAAATCCTTAGCTACAATGGGTTTAAGTGTGGAATACAAAGACACACCCCCATCCCAAACAAGAGTAAGTGTGAACCGCCTTTCAGCTTTAGCCCTGACCCTTAACTATCTTCCCTAGGAATTCAGTAATTATCACTCTAAACACTCCTAAGGACACAAAAAGTAAACCTACTTACATAGTATTGTTTTGAATACAAACTGTTTCAACTGCAGACATCAGAAAGATGCATAAAGTGCAGAGAATGTACCTTCCCATATTTGCCGAAGAGGTTCTTCAAATCAGCAGCTTTGGTATTAGAAGAAAGTCCGCTAACCCAGATATTTTTAGTTGAGCCTCCACTGCTACCACTAGTACTACTTGTACTTCCTGGAACAGATGTAATATCAGACAGTTCAGTATCTTAATCAGAAAGTTTTCTGCAAAATTATAAAAACAGTGTTCTTTCAAACTCTGAAATTCTTTCAGTTTTGATAACGTGACCTTACTACACTGGAAATCTTATGAAGAATGTGCTACTAAAATCAAACTAATATACAATGTGACTACTGAGAAAATAAACGTGAGAGTTTACATACTTCCAACTACATGAGCTGCAAGACAGTACTTTTCTGTTTTTTTTTTTTTTTTTCTTTTAATGTATTTGGTTCAAGGTTTCACTACCCAGCTCCCATTCAGTTTTCAGCCTCCCCAGCATCGGGATTACAGGCGTGCACTACCACCTCCATCTCAATGGTCAGCCCAGTGTGCCCAGGGGCAGGACCTGCGCACCATGTGTTACTGGGGATTGAGTCCCGGTCCGTGCGCTTGCCTAAGCAGGTGCTTAGCTGCTGAGCTATCTCACTGGTCCAGTACTTTTCTATTCTTAAGAAGGCCATTCACCAAATGATCTGTTTCATCGTATAAAATGTTAACCAAAAGTCTATGTATATACTTGTATCTCCAGTAAAATTTGCACCTAGGTAACTTATCAAATTATAGAAAATACTTCTCTTTTTTTTTTTTTTTTCGGAACCGGGGATTGAACTCAGGCCCCTGCGCTTGCCAGGCAAGCACTTATTCTACTGAGCTAACTCCCTGGCCCCTAGAAAATACTTTTGAATGACAGAAAAGTAAGTATGATTTAACCAAGAGTACTAAGTTACTAAATTTAAAGAATAAGGGGCTGGGGAGATAGCTCAGTGGACTAAGCACTTCCTTGGAATGGGAAGGGCCTAAATTCAATCCCCGGTTCTGCAAAAATAAAAACAAAAAAGCGGGCTGGTGAGATGGCTCAGTGGTCTAAGGCACCTACTTGGAACAAGCTTGGCAAAGCACAAAGCACAGGGACCGCGGTTCGATCCCCCAGCACCACATGCCAGCCAGCCCCGCCCCCTGGTGGGCTGAGCTGGCCACACACACACACTAAATAAATAAATAATTAATTTTTAAAAATTAATAAAATAAAATTTAAAAAAACCTCCCCCTACATTTAAAGAATAAAATTTTATAAGATTTTGTATGTTACTCATTAATTCAAACTGTAAGGAATGTGAATTTAACTGTCAGTTACTATATTAGGTCACCATAATTTCCAACTATTAAAAGCATAAACAGATACACTGAACTATAAAAATGAATACTATCCTTCTTCAGACATTCAAGAGGTGTTTAGGACTCTCCAGACCTGACTGGTGTATTTCCCTGCTACAGCTTCAGTGTGTGCATAGGTTGAAGAAGCTGCATCATTCCTGGGCATGAGATAACCAGATTCTGCCATAGCAAAAGGCATCAAATATTGCCATCTTGATACTTAACAATAATGTAAAATAATTTTCCTACATAAGAAAAGCCACCAACTAAAAATGAAGTAAAAATACAAGGTAAATTCTTTAGCATCAAAATATTATTTACTAGGTTTATTGACAAAATAAACTAATTTAAAGACTAAAGATAAAGTAAAACAAAATGTTAGAAACTGGTTTTTCTACTTTTTACCACTACACCCACAAATGTCCACAGACTATTTATTATACATATCTCCTGCTCGGGTCAGGGAAGCAAAGAGGTCATGCGCTTACAAACTACCCGCACTAACCAGGTTTCTGAAATTATAATCTAAAAAAACAAAGCATCCTCCAGTATGTGATAAACTGCTTAGTACATAATAAATTTCTCTAGCAAATGGGCTGTTAACATCTTCATACCAATTTACAAAGCAAAAGATGATTTAATCAGAGTTTGCTGCAATCTAACTCTACAAAGTAGTAACAAAGACCATCCATAATTTTCAATCTGTAAAACCACCAGGACCAAATGTCAAAGGTAATCAAGCAACTACCCCTTTCTAGTGACAGTAGGTAACATAATCACTGAAATAAACAGGAAAAATATCCATTACCTTTGTCATCTTTAGATGATGTCTTGCTGTCTTTAGATTCCTTTGAAGAGCTAAAGAGGCAAATCACCAGAAGAAAATTGAAAACAAAAAAACAAAAACCGAACAGCTTGATGTTGACTATATTGCAAAGTAGCACTCTTAATACAAATTAACAATTCCAAAAGCCCAGATTAGTTTATTTGACCAAATGACTCCCTTAGGATTCTTGCACTGTTATTTTCCCCAAGATGCCTGAAGATCTAGATTTTCTGACAATTCTATTCAGTGGATATATGGCCATCTTCTCCAGATTTCAGGACTGGGACTTGCTTCATTTTGTGTTCTTAGAACTGATAGTTGTTCATTAACCATCATCACAAGGATTTTAAAAAATAAAACACAAAAAATTGTCAATTGGGAAAAAAAAGAACAAATATATGCTGAAATTTTGACAAAACAATCAGGACACACTGCATATTATGAAGATCTTGAATTTTTAAAACAGTAACTTATGACGGTCAAAAATATTACAGGCAGGATCATAAGATACTAAATACTGTACATGGTCTTGAAGCCACCCCCTTAATGTAGAGTGATCTTATTGAATGCTGGAATTCAGTATCGTAAAGAACTGACATAGAAAAACAAACCTCTTTGCTTGACCAGAGGCCCCAGTAGACGAGGGCCCTTTCTTCAAAGTATCCTTTTCTTTGTCTCCAGATTCTGCTTTCTTAGAACCTTCTCTGGCTTCCTTCTCGACAGGATCGCCCTTCACGCAGTCTTCCTTCTTACCATCTTTATGGTTCACATTCATCTCATAATCCTTGGTTTCCTTCTCCGGGCTCTGTGCAACGGCGTCCTGCCCATCTTTTGGCTTACTTGCTTCAGAATCTGTAATTTTCACATTTTTACCTGTTTCTAGGAGATCATCACCATCAAAATCCAGAGTGATGGCATCTTCAGCCTGGATTGTGACCGAGATGTTGTCATCCTCTGCTTCTTTCACAGGCGCATTAGCTTCCATCTCTTCGGGAGCTGTGTGACCAGCTTCAGCTAGGTGCCCTTCTGAAGGAAGAGGTTTAGATACTTCTTGTGTACCATCACCAGAACCTGCTATATCTAAGAGGATTTAACAGGAATAAATATGGCAAAACAAGAAGTTTAAACAATTTCATACTCATATGCTAGAATAGGACCTAGAAAATATAAAGCCAGTTATTAGCACCGGTGGAAGATGGGGGGAAACACAAGGGCAATAACTACCACCAACAATCCTTTACCCAGGGCCACTTAATCTTCATGGGAAAAATGATCTCTACATACAAACATCAGACAACAACAGTGAGGAAAACAGTTCCGTCCTGAAGATAGCATTTCTGGTAATGAGTGAGTGGTACGTGGACGATTTTTATCCTCCATGGGATGCAGATGCGTTGTACAACCCTTGCGGCATTCAAAGCTCCCAGTCACTTCCTAGACGATCCCCAGAGGAGGGAGTCATGTCTTCACACTTTCTAGGGACCCATCTTTTTCTTTCTTCGACTCCTGGGAAGTCCAGAATGGCATGGAAAACTGCAACCGAAGGCTCTGAAGATGCTCCTGCTCCACAGTGCCCATGAACTTGGGCATTTCTAGTCTTCCTCCTGTCCAGTCAGTTGACAGTTGCCATTTGCAAAGATGCTTTGTGTTCCCACAGAGTTGAGAGGCCTGTCGGGCACGTGAGGTGTGCAGTCCGCAGCTTCATGTCACGCAGTGTTGAGGTTGGGCATTTCCTCTGGTCCTTTCCAGTCTAACGGGGGGCGTTTCTGGGACCTGTGCTCAAGAACTCAACCTCGCACTGACCACGTCTTGCTGTCCTTGCAGGTGTGATGGCAGAGCTGGTCTCCAACCCTACCCTGCCGGCAGCTGAGTGGCAAGTTCCTCAAAGCAGCGAACCCGAGTCAGCGTCCGGTAGCTCAATATGTTTAGGACTGGCTGCTTGGGAGCCACATGGTAGGCTCCAGTAAGCACGTATAAGTTACTGCAGTGCCCATCTACGGACTGGGTCCACTTACCGTATGCACTACATGACTTTGACAATAAAATTTCAAAATCGCATGTTCACTACAGTAACTGATATGTACTATTCAGTTAGAGTATATGTGCTCAAGAGGAAATTAAAATCAATTAAAAAATAAACCAAGATGCTAACTTAGTTCACTAAATTGGTATATTTGAAAAATAAACTCATTTTAAAATAAGGAACGCTTGATAGTCACATAATTTACTTTTTAAGTCAGCAATTTTTATACTCTACTTAGCATCAAACATACCTTTTTCATTTTCCTCTTCCTCACCATCCTGAAATTCAAAGAATAATCAAATGTAAAATAAATTTGTGTGAAACTAAACTTTACTAATACCAGTAAACTTAAACTGCCAGATAAGTTAATATGATCAGGATACCTATCACTAACCAACAGGACGTTCTAATGGATTAGAAAAACAGCACAAGCCTGCAGGACACAATCCTCGAGAAGAACGGGCAAGAGTATCAACAACCACAGTAACAAACAGATGGAACAGTTTCACTACTCAAAACTAGTTCACAGATTCAAATCTTGCTCATATCAAGAGTTACCAATAAAAAGGACTGACCTGTTTGTCATTCAATTCACAGGTGCCCTTAGCATGTATTAATCAGAAATATATCAGGAAAGTATAACCTGTAGACATACACTTTCAAGGGTTTGAGTATACATGAATAAAACAACAAAGCCGGGTACAGTGGTGCAGGCCTGTAATCCTGGCACTCAGGAGGCTGAGGCAAGAGGCCTGCCACAAGGCCAGCCTAAACAACAGAGATCTCACCTCAAAATAAATAAACCAAAACAACAATAAATCTTCCTTCTTAAGCATGTCAGAGAGAACAACAACTACTAGAACAGTCAGTTTCAAAATATTCAAATTTTCCTTTATTTTGAAGTAGGATCTTGCTACATAGTTCAAGAAGGCCTTAAACTCACTATGCAGCCCAGGCTGAGCTTCAACTGATAGCAATTCCCCTCGCCTCAGCTTCCCAGGTGCTATGATTACAGATGTGCGTCACCATGCCCAGCTAATTACTCATTCTTTTTAACTGCTCAAAATGAATCCAGTTATTATACACTGGTAGCCCCCCAATTTAAAAATGATATTTATACTACCTGTAAAAAAGTCATTTAAAAATTATTTGAATTTTAATATATTCGAGGGCCAGCAAGATAGCTCAGCAGACTACGCGCCTGCTGAGGCAAGCACAGGGAGCAGACGGGGTTTAATCCTTGGCACCACATGCCAAGGGGCCCCTGGGCGCTGAGCTGCAACAAGAGTGGGCGTGGCGGTGCAGGCCTGTAGTCCCAGTGCTGGCGAAGCTGAAAACAGGAGGATCACTCCGAGGCTGATCTGCATAGTGAGACCCTGCACCATATACATTTTTTTTTTTAAAGTGTGTTTACACACACACACACACACACACACACACACACACACACACACACATATTAACTGGGAACAGGAGTATCACAATGGGTGAACATTTTTTCTGTATTATGAAAATATTGCAAAACTCACACAACTATTTTAAGACATATTCCCAATTTCCAAAATGACACCATAAAGAAAAATAAAGGAGGCCGCGGAGATGGCTCAGTAGAATAAGCGCTTCCCTGGCAAGTGCAAGGGCCTGAGTTCAATCCCCGGTTCCGGGGGAAAAAAAAAGAAAAAGAAAGCAACATGTGCTAAACTGGGAAGTTTTTGGGGGGGAGGGTTACAAGGAATCAAACTCAGGGCTTTGTGCTTGCCAGGCAGATGCCAGGCTGCACACACTACAATGTTAAAAAAAACTGACAGAATGTCTGAGGTTGGGCCGGGGAGATGGCTCAGTGGAATAAGCGCTTCCTTGGCAAGCGCAAGGGCCTGAGTTCAATCCCCGGTTCCGAAGGAAAAAAAAAAAAAAAGTTCTGAGCTTCTCTCTTTGGGTGAATCTGGGGGTTGAATCAAGAGCCTTGTACATGCTAAGCAAGTACTCTGCCACTAAACTACATCCTTAGCTTTTAAATTTCCAAAAATGGTTATTATTTGGAAGCCTATGTAGTCCAGGCAGGTGTTAATCTCAACTATGTTGCCCAGGATAGCCTGTGATGCTTCAGCCTCCTGAATGCTGGGACAGGTATGTGTTACCATACTGCAGGGCATAACTATAACTTTCAAATACAAACCTTAATTAACATTTCATTAGTACTTAATTCTAATTTTTTTTTATATATTTAGTACAGGATCTCACTACTACATCGGAGTCGTTGTGATCCCCGTTTTCAGACTCCCAAGCACTGGGATTACAGGAATGCACCATCACACCCAGTCTCAATGGCCATCTCAGCACGGCCCAGGGATGGAGCCAGCACAGCATGTCAGGGATCAAGCCCCAGTCCCATAAACAGGAGCTTTAGTCCTCTGAGCTATCTGGCTGGCCCTTATAATTTTCTTAATTATAATTTTCAAATGGAACCTGAGTTAGGCATAGTGAACCACACCTGTATTCCCAACACTTTGGAGTGCTGAAGCAGTTCAAGACCATCCTGGGCTACATAAACAGACCCTGTCTCGAGAAGCCAAAAACAAACAAAACAAAAATAAAAACTGAGCAGCAGCAGCAGCAGCAGCAGCAGCAGCTTTAGGTCAGGTGGTATGGACCACCACATACAAAGGGCTGGTTAGGGCACAGCCTGCACAGCCTTGGCCAGGACGTGGCAGACGTCTCTCCCCAGCTGCCAGCACTGCTGATGCTACCGCTCCACAGGGCACTGGCAGCGCCACCCTCGAGGATCAGCACACCAGAGAGACAGCAAGAAGATGCATGTGAGTGATGCTGTACATGCATGTCAGCCTGTGACATGCTATCACAGATGGCCTGAAACTTACAGTCATTCTCCTGCCTCTAGAGTGCCAGGATTATAGGCGTGTGTCACCACACCCATCCTGGAAATTATTTTAATTTTTAAAACATTTGGATTGTTTGTTTCTAAGACAGGGTCTCACTCTGCAGTTCACAATGGCCTTAAACTTGAAACAATCCTCTTGACTTTGCCTCCTCAGTGCTGGGATTATAAATGTGCACTACCATGCTCATCCTGGAATTTCTTAACTTTTAAGTATTTATGTATCAGAATCTTTTTCTTTTTTTATAAAATTTCTTAATAAACAGCTGTACTTCAAATTTTTTTAGTACCAGGAGTTGAACTCAGGACCTTGTGCTTACTTACCAATGCCAAGCAGTTCTGCGCCACTGAGCTACATCCCTGGCCATTGTACTCAAAACATTTAATTACACTTCTAATTTACCACACTTGAAAAGGAAAGCACACTTTTTGGTGCCAGGGATTGAACTCAGGACCTCATGTTTGCCAGGCACATGCTCATGCCACTGAGCCATCTCTGGGCCCTAAGCACACTTTTATTTACGTGGAACAGAGGGGTAGTGGCAGGTAGAGAAAGGGAAGTTACACTTAAATTCTGGATACCTTTTTCTTTCAAATTCTTAGTATTTATCTTGAAAGGTTAAATAAATGGGGACAATCTAATGCTTGCTTATAAGCAGAATTTTATCTGTGTGTGGGGGGGTACTGGGAATTGAGACAAACAGAATTTTAACTGTAGTTTACTCTCGCTTAATTTGCCTGTGATTCTAACAGCACCTTACTTCAACACCTTAGTCTTAAGAGAATGTCTAAATGATCTGCTATTTGAAAAGTTAAACTTTTAGAATACTATGAAGTGAAAAAGTGTTTCTGTTGTAGCTCATGCCAATTAAAAATGTTATTTTTAGTAGCTACAGTAACAGGTAAGGCTTGTCTGCACTCAAGAATTTTCTTTTTTTTTTTTTTTTTCATTTTCTTGCCTTCAGGGCAGGTTTGGCTGGCTTGAGTTGTGGGGATCGAACCACAGCAACCTGAGCCTGACTGCTTTGTTGAAGCACCACTTAAACAACTGAGCTACTTTTAAAGGCAGGCCCCCTAGAATTTTTGATATTCATGATTAACTCAATGTCTTTTAAAGCTAACCACTCTACATAGTGGTTACAATTTCCTTACTAAACAGCCTTAAATGCCCACAGGAAAAGGGCCTGAGCTTTCAAGAGATGAAACCCATTACAATGGCAGCAAAAACATGACAACAAGCAGGGTTCAAGGCTTGTAGGAGATGAATCACACTTATACAAGTGCATATTCCTATCACCATGCTGTCTGTGCAGAAAGCACAGTCCGACTAACGGTAAAGAAGTCCTAAATGAGCCCTGAACTCCTTGTAACAGGAAACCAAGAAGTATAAAAAAAGACATCAGGAAGTTTTTTCACTTACATAATATATATGCACAGCTATGCCATCTATTTGAAAATAATTCACCAAACACAGATTCCTTTAAATTAGCAACTTTTGGGCCAGGGACATGGCTCAGTGGAATAAGCACTTCCCTGGCAAGCGCAAGGGCCAGAGTTCAATCCCCGGTTCCGCCAAAAAAAATTAATTAAATAAATTAGCAACTTTTGCTTTTACCTTGAAAAAAAAAGAACATTTCACACATGAAAATGTCTAGGCACTCAAGCTGCTCATCTCTGTAGTGGAATCTCCAAGCTTTAGTCCAAGGCCAATGGACAGTACAAAGCTCCTCCCTGCTTGCCTGCTTTCATTGTAGGCAGGGAGAGCGATAACTACAGAGACACAGAGTCAAGCCGAGAGTACCACCATCCACCTAACCACACACATACTCCCTTCACCGCCTTTCTGCAGGAAGATCTTGTCATACACAACATGTTAGTGCCAAGCAAATCTTTCTCTTGATTTGAACATTTATTTATTGTGTGTGTATGTGTGTGTGGCCAGCTCAGCCCACCAGGGGGCGAGGCTGGCTGGCATGCGGTGCTAGGGGATCGAACCGCGTTCCCTGTGCTTTGCCAAGCTTGCTCCAAGTAGGTGCTTTAGACCACTGAGCCATCTCGCCAGCCCCTCTCTTGATTTGTAATACACAGCATCTGCACTGACAGACTTGGTCTATAAAATAAGACCTGAGCCTTATTTTATAATAAGGCTTTATTTTATAATTTTTGAGCCTTCTACCTGGCAGTGTGTACCTTCAAGTGTCTGCTAAGACAAACTCATTCAGTAAAAGTCGTGGAAAGCACCAATTCCTCTGAGGCTCCACCACTGCAGCACTGTGCACGCACAACAGAACTCAGAACTAACAAAAGCAAGGGCCCGCCAGACAGCTCAGCTGACTAAAGGGCCTGCTTAGGCAGATGCAGGGACCCGGGCTTGATTCCCAG